GTACCGTCAAGGTTTAGCGAGATCGCCATTATTTGGAGAGCTTGAATTAACCGCACCGACACAAGTCCCCAAGGTGAGCGCTGTATCGTACGCTTGATCTGCTTTCATCAGATATACTTCTGATTTTCGTTGCAGTTCCTAAAATATTAGCATAAGCTAGCGGTAACTCACTTACAACATTTCGGAATTTTCTACCATTGAAAACCTTGATTTTATTACACATGGGACGAATATCGAGAAAGAATGTGAGCTAATATTAGTAGATATTGTCAATTGACATTAAGCATCAGTAACTATTAGGCCACTAAAATCTCAGATTTAGGCTGAAGTGAAAAGAAACGCGGGTAAACCCGTAAAGTATAAAGTGGAGTTGTGGATAAAAAGATGGATGAATAATCAAATTACTTTCGGAAATGTGAAAAATACCACCTAACCTATCAGGGCCTTATGTGATTCGCCAGCCCAAGTCCTGGGGCTTAGTTTGTCGGCTTCAAACACTGAACAGCAGATCCCCGTGACTATATGGTTTGCCCCGTCTGTTGTGTGCAATAGAAAAAAATATCACTCAAGTGCCCCTAAAAGGACATTATGTGCCGCTAAAGGGTTTCAGCAACACACAACTGATGATGCACTTGAACACTCAAAATCCTGCACACATCCCATTGCACACAGTAAGAAATAAAACTGAAGATCCAAAGAAAGAAATGATAGGAAGTACGACAGTGGCGATGTTTTACAATAACCATAATCATGTTCGAAACGAGACATCAAAGTGGTTTGGTCTAACATACCTCATTGATGAGAAATATGACTTCAATAACCGCTGATGAAGAAGGATGGGAAACAACGTAATCCACTCCGGGACGACCGAATCTAAGGAGGTTAGCTGACAGAAAATGATATACTTACATTCGTATGATGCCGGTTTTTGTACCGATTGCGACAATCTTTTGAATAGGATCGAACGCCATACAAGTGGGTTGATGTGGGAATCCGTGAATAGCGATCTTGATTCATTCTATAAGCGAAAGTGCAGATAATTACCTTTCCAACCTGGAAATTTTCACCCTTCAGATTTTCATCGATTTCCACAAACGCTTTGTTTGACGTTGCTTGTGGGGTGCTTATATTCCAGGAACGAATTCCATCGATAACTTTCAGTAGTTTTTTCGATCTCGCAGCCATTTCAACCGAAAATCAGGAAAATTCACATTCTAAAAAAAATACATCAAATATACGCCCGCGTGAAAACACTATGAACTTGGACTCGCAATAATGGTGCATTCTAACAAATCAGTTCAGTTCAGATCAGTTCCAGAACGTTCACGGTGGTGTGCCAGTTAGTCCAGTTTTGCAGAAGTGGGCTCCAGGGATCCCTCGATACTTTGACAGATGCAAGAGGAAGACGACTCTTCTTCACGATTGCAATCAAATACTTCAGGAGAGTTGTGCGTTAACTTCCCACTCTCGCGCCACATTCCGGTGACGCCTTATGGATCAGGGCAGCAGACCCTGACACCGGCATCAACCAAATTATAATCCCGGCCTATTAGGTTGAAGAGCTCTAGTGGTAAAGTTAATGCCTTTCAGAAAATACCTATTGACACGCAGTGTTGGGAGCCACAAGAACGGCCAACAACACATCAATCTGGACGCAAGATTGACCCGGGCCACACATTGTCCTGTGTAAACTGAACTGAATAATGTAGCCGGATAAGTCATTCAGTCAATCAGGTCAGATCAGGTCAGGTCAGGTCAGGTAGGACAGGACAGGACAGGACAGTTCACAGGACTTGCGGCTTGAGCCAGTATAATAGTCCAGGTTCTTGCGTCGACGGGTCACGTATGTCTCGTAACGCTTCGACAGTTTGTTAATCGGTTCTTGGTGGTGCAGGGGTACGGCCGCGGAGAAGGGACGCCAATCCGGTTTGCTGTCGATGGAAGCAGCAACACCTGATCAGTCACAGGCTAACCCCTCCAGCAAACAATAGAGAATCCGCAGGCATGCGAAGATAGATTAGAATGGGAAAGGAAAAGTACGTGAGTAATTTAGTAAGTAAGAAAGTTAGCTAGTACTGGGAGGGGGTTATAGGGAGCAGGAGATGAAGTGAAGGTAGTTGAAGTAAAATGGGTGATATAATTAAGAGTAAAGATGGAAGGGGAGTGGTGCTCGGGAAAGCTAAGTGCATAGCTACCACCAAGGACTGTTGCTTACTTCCTAAGGCTAATTCGGGGAAGGTTATGTCCCACACCTCAGCAAGCCTTCTTTTGAACAGCGCCAGTGTGGACGCCGAGACAACCTCGTCAGAAAGTCTATTCCAGGCATTGACCACTCTATGAGAGAAGTAGTTTGTCCGTTCTCTCCTTACTGCACGGGGTTTGACCAGCTTTAGATGGTGTCCTCTTAGGGCTGGATTTTCACTGAGGGAGAAGAGTTGCCTGCTAGGCTGTGAGAGTCCCTCCAGTATCTTAAAAACCTCTATTAGGTCACCTCTCTTTCGTCTGAGGTAGGGAGAACAAGTTTGGCTCTCTCAGGTGCCTCGGGCACGACATCGTTCTTAGGGCAGGAAAAAGCCTAGTGAATCGTCTCTGGACGTGCTCTAGAGCCTTTTGGTCGCGTAGGAGGTTCGGCGCCCATGCCTGTACGCAGTACTCGAGGTGTGGGCGCACCAAAGTCTTGTAGAGGGGCAGTAAGACTGTAGGGTCCCTCGATGCTACTGTTCTTCTCAGCAAGAACAGCGCCTTAGAAGCCTTTGCTGAGGCTAGCTGACACTGTCTGGTCGGCTGAAAGGAACCATGCATGACGATACCTAGGTCCCTGACCTTGTCAGTTATTTCCACCGATGTGGGTCCCGTGCCATTGATCAACCTAGCCTCTTCGATGGATCCCCTAAGAGAAGCTGTTTACACTTGCTAGCATTTAGTGGTAACAGCCACTCCTCCGTCCACTTCTCGACTTCATCTAGGTCATCTTCCATGGCGTTGGTGGAGGGGTCACCGATAATTTTTACGTCATCGGCAAACAGGAACGACGGTTGTACTATCCTCTTGGTTAGGTCATCTATGTAGATGAGGAATAGTAGAAGTCCCAGCACTTACCCTTGGGGCACACCACTACAGTCTGTCCCTCTGGCGGACATTTCGCCCTCTACCCTGACATAGAAGTAGGTACTCCGTAATCCATCTGACAACTTGATTAGACAGACGGGAGATCTTTAGATTTTCGATCGACAGTCGGTGGTTGACCGAGTGGAATGCCTTTTGGAAGTCAAAGTAACAGACTTCCACTCGCTCCCCCCGATCAAGCCTTTGGGTGATCTCGTCCATGAATTCCAGCAAATTTGATAGGCAGCACTTCTTCTGCAAAAAACCCTGCTTGTTGGGAGATATCAAACCCTGGCTTGGAACGTGGTCCGCTTTGCGATCCCTGAGGATCCTTTCCATGATCTTCAGTGGAAAAGGCAGCAAACTGACCGGCCTATAACTTCCTACCGAGTCCCTGGGCCCTCCCTTGTGGATAGGCAGCACCTCTGCTATTTTCCAATCTTCTGGAAGTTGATCGTGACAGGGGGATAGGTTAAACAGGCTAACCAGTGGATTGGCAAGGACTACTGCCAGGGGTTTCAGTATGGCTGGGTGGATACCATCCGATCCTGCCGATTTGCCTGTATTTAGGCGCCTCAGGTGATCCTGAATCTCCTGGGGTGGGNGGGGGGGGGGAATTTCGCAGTCTGGCATATGTGGGATGGGCCTCGGAGTTTGTTGACCCCCGGGTGCCCCGATATCCCTAACGTGAATTGCTTCAAAGAAGCGCCTGAAAAGTTCTGCTTTCTCAGAGCTGGCTTGACTGGGTGGTTGCTCTCATCCTCGTGAGCACCAATAGCCGTACACAGCTTGGAGTTAGCTTATACGTAGTTGAAGAGTGCCTTGGGGCATTCTTTATTCCTCCGCTCCAGTCCCGTTTCGAAGGCCCTACGGCAAGGCGTCTTCGTACTGATCGCCCTGTCTCTCTCCCTGAGGTACTGGAGACACCTTTGGTGGCTACGGATTCTGAGGTATTGGCTCGATGCTTGACGCTTTCGAGCTTGTGCCTTTGCTACCCTGCTGCATCACCAGGGGAGTTTTCTATTTCTCCGGATCCTCCTTAGTGGAGCAAACTTCGAAGTGAACAGTAATGCAGTGTACTTAATGGTGGTCGAACGCTCTTCTATAGTGTTGAGCTGCTCCCCCCCCCAGTGTAGCTCAGAGGCTCTTTCAATGAGGGAGTTGCTGTTTATTCTGTGGAAGGCTCTCCTCCATTTTATGTAAGAATTTGGGCCGTTTTCCTGTAAACAGAACGCAACACTACATGGTCACTCCTACCCAGTGGTGGAGAGGTTCTCAAGTCGATCACATCATTGGGATATTTACTCAGGACTAGGTCCAATAACCCAGGGTTTTGCCCGCTGTGATAACGCGTGGGGTGGTTGACGTGTTGGACTAGGGCGCAGTCAAGGGTAAAATTTACTAGTAAGTGACAAAAATTACATGGTGGTACCCACGTGGAATTCCAATCGACTTCCGGGGCACTAAAATCCCCTAGAATCAACACGCTGGGTGATCCGTGGCTAAGCTCTCTGAGGTAAGATAGTGGTTGCTCATCCTCTACCTGGGATGCTGAAGGACTGCGAAAAGCACAGTCTACCGTCAGTTTCTCTGTGGGGAGGTGTGTAGTGTCTTACTTTTCCATCCACTTTATCTGACCTGATTGTACGGCTTGTGTTAATATGCGCAGTACCTAATACACAATACAAAATTCTGTTCGTAAATACGCACGTGTTCTCCGAGTGTTGCTGAGGAATTAAGCAAGCATTATCAGTTATCGTCAAGCGGTTCGTTAACTGTCGCAGTCATCCATTTCAGCTCCTCTACACCTCATCGACCGGAACCACACATCACAAGAACAGGATCAATCGACCAGCGGACAATCCTTCTGTGAGTCCGTTCCTTGTACCGTTTATTTCATTATTATTCGTATATGTAGTGTCTTTTCCACTACAGGTGTATCGCACAGGTCATTACCCGGATGTGCAGTCGGAGTGGATGCACTCCGAAGTTAATGCACCCCATTTGTTCCCCAGGCTGCAGGCATTTGTGCTTAAAACCCGCAGGCCTGATCTGTGACTAATGATGGGAACTTGGGGGTGGCACTCGGGCTCTATTCCCGAGTTCGCCCTACGTTTTTTGCAACGGAGGGTTTACGGAGTATGCCAGGCGTTTCCAGCCTGGGCTTGCGTTTCAGGTTGGGCGGCTGCGAGTTGACTGGGGTGTGACCCGGGCCGGCTAGTAGGAGATACAACCGCAGTGAGTGATTCCTTTGTCACCTTTGCTGCCACCTTAGGTAGTCGCAGAGAGGGTAACTTCATGGGTGTT